GCGACCAGGAGCGCTGGCGACCGGACCCGGCAGGCGGCGGGCTGGGCGGGGGTCCCGCGGGGTTCCGAGGAGCCCGCAGAGCGGCCTGTGCTCGCGGTCCCAGTCTGGAACACTCTGAGCCAGAGCCGGGTGGGGCCGGGAGCGGGTAAGGAGGGAGGGAGGCGGGAGGGTGGGGCGGGACGAGGAGCCCCCCCTCCCCAAACCAAGCGCCCGGCCTCTGGCGCCCCCTGGTGGATAGTGGGGAGGACGCCTTAGGTAGGCGGGAGAGAGCTAGCACGTGGAGCCTGGGGTTCGAATTCCGCCCAGAACCACACCCCAAACTCTGTCTCCCTTTTTAATATGGGAGTAAGAGCAGCAGCAGCAGCAATCATAATACTTTTAAAATAGTGAGTTTATGAAACTGCTCTGCTCGCAGCCTCACCATGGCTCCCTGGTCACTTGGAGTCAAAGTCCTTGCTGGAAGCCAGGAGGCCCAGCACCGTCTGCCCACAGCCCTGCTCCCACCCTCCCTCCCTCTGCTGCAGTCACACGGCGCTTCCTGGGCTTCCTCGCTGCCTCCACAGTGCACCAACAACCCTGCTGCCTCCGGGCTTTGCCGGTCTCTCTGCCTGCACCCCTCCTCCAGGGATCTGCATGGTGCTCTTTCCTCTCCTTCGGGTGTCTGCTCAAATATTGCCTCCTCAGAGAAGCCCTCCCTGGGAACCAGCAGTTAGCATAATGGCTATGTCGCTGGACTCCCACGTAGTCGACCGCGGTTCGAGTCCCGGACCCGGTGACTTAGAACTCACGCCAGGCGCGTGTGCGTGCGTGCCCAGGATCCAGAGAGGAGAATGGAGGAGAAGGGATTGCGGCGTGACCATCTCCCCGGGGGGTGATTTCTCGCTTTCTGTCTCTCAGTCTGTCTGGCGAGCGCACGTGCCCTATAGCGAAAAACCTCTCCAAAAAAAAGAAAGAGAAAAGAGAAGCCCTCCCTGAACTCCTGCCTACTGTAGGGCCTATCGCGTACCCCTTACGGCTGCTTGTTTTTCTCCAAAGTCCTTATAATGCTTGACATACTGAGGACAGAACTCCACAAGGGCAGGACTTCCCCACTGCGTGGTTCTGCCCAGGCCTGAGTCTTCGCAGGGGTTCAGCAAATATTTGTTGCATGAATCTCTGAGGGTGAGGATTTCCTACGGGCAGGCCCTGCGGGAAGCTCTTCACCCGTTACCTCACGGAGCCCTCCTCGGAGCCCGGAGAAGGGGGTAATGCTGTCCTCCTTGTACGTATTAGACAACCGAGCCCAGAGACCTGAACTCAGAAAGCCCAGGGATTGCTCAGGGCCCAGCGGACACCTGGAGGAGAGGAGGAGCCGCACAGACCCCTGGGAGAGGGTACAGCAGAGGGAGCAGCAAGTGTGAAGGCCCTGGCCCTGTGCCCGGCCATGGTAGGTGCTTACGGGACCAGCAGCTGGCATAATGGCTATGTCGCTGGACTGTAGTCGACCGTGGTTCAAGTCCCGGGCTTGGTGGTTTGTTTTCTCACTTTCCCTCTCTCTCTCTGTCTCTTTCTGGTCATATTTAAAAATAAGTGAATGAATAAATAAAACTAAATAAATAATTCTTAGAAACAAACAAACAAAAAAAAAACAACCTATGTCGTGTGCGTGCGTGCCCAAGATCCCGAGAGGAGAATGGAGGAGAAGGCATTGTGACGTGGCCATCCCCCCTGGGGGGTGATTTCTCGCTTTCTGTCTCTCTGCCTCTCTTTGTCTTTCTGGTGAGCGCACACAAATTATAGCAAAAAAAAAGTGAAAAAAAAAAAAAGAAACATCAGCTCCTTTTTACACTTCCCACACGGGCCCATGGGGCGTTGTTCTGGATTTCATGCCGTAACTTAATTTTTTTAAAAGAACTTTATTTAACTTTATTTACTTATCTTAGTTTGACCAGAGAGGGACAGAGTGAGAGAGAGAGAGAGAAAAAGTGAGGAAGCAAGCCGCCAGGTCCGGTCTCAGACTGTGGTCGGCCACGCGGGAGCCCAGAGCCCTTAACCACCGTGCGGGTCCCTCCTGCTGTAACTTAAAGGGAAACTCTCCCAACGTCCAGGAGCCACTCAGGCGGCACGAACGCGGCTTCGTGGAACAGGACATCCACAAACGGAAAAGTGGCAGCATCTCCACCCTAATGCTGGAGAGGACCCGGAGACGCTTCCGTGGGCAGCTCGCGCCTCGGCTGGCGCTGGCGTCAGCCGCGGGACACCGGACAGAGGACTGCACTGAGGGTCGCTGCTGCCCCTGCAGCCGCTCCTATTGCCGGTCCCCTCGCTCCTAGAACCTTCCCTAACCAGATCCGGGGAGCCCCGTGTTCTGGTGGTGACTGACTCCGGCCGACCCCAGCCTCTCGGAGGCATCTCAGTTAATCAGCCTACCAGTGCTCTGAGCAACACGGATTCTCCTCTGTGCCGCGTGGACCTCGCCACCCCACGTGACAGTGAGGAAGCTCTCAGCGGGCCGATGTGGTGGGTGCTGGCCAGGGCAGCTCTGCACATGCGCGGCACCATCTCCCGTGAACCCCGTGGGAGGTCAGGCCTGACCTCTGCTTTTACAAAGATCCTGAAGAGGGGCTGGCAGGTGGCGTGGTGGTTAACGGCGCAGGGCTTCCACATGGCCGACCAGTTTGAGTCCCAGATCTGGCAGTTTGCCTTCCCACCCCCTCCCCCAACTCTGTCCCTCTCTGGTCAAATTAAAAATAAAATAATTCTTTGAAAGAAAAAGAAAGATCCAGAAGAGCTGGAAAAGGAGTAACAGGCCGCCGCTGAAAAGGCAGTGACCAGGACCAGCAGTTAGAGTAATGGCTGTGTTGCTGGACTCCCATGTAGTGCACTGTGGTTCAAGTCCCGGACCCAGTGGCTTAAACTCACGCCAGGCGCGTGTGCGCGCGTGCCCAAGATCCCGAGAGGAGAATGGAGGAGAGGGGATTGCGGCGTGTCCATCCCCCCTGGGGAGTGACCTCTCGCTTTCTGTCTCTCTGTCTTTCTGGGAGTGCACGCACCCTATAGGAGAAACCTCTCCAAAAAGAAAGAAAAGGCCATGACCAAGAGGAGGCTCAGGGTGAATGGACCGCTCCTGCTCCTGAGTTTACCTACTCGGCCTGAGGTCACGGGCTGGTGCGAGGTCCTGCGGGTGCCCGGGTGCCCTCCGTGCCCACGTGGCAGTTCCCTCCTGAAGACTGCGCTCAGCCTGCCACTGAGACGGGCCTGCCACTGCTCGGGCCACTGGATGGGTGGGAAGGACCACGGGGTGGTCTTAAGCTGCTCTTCCACAGATTCTTATACAAAGTGGGAATAAGCTTGATAAGGAAAATAACAGTTTCACAGTTTCTTAAAAAAGAAAATAAAGAAAAGAAGAGAGAGAGAAACAAGATCAGGCCTGGCCCCGCTGAGGCGGCCTGTCCTGGACACTGTTACTTCCCAGCCAGAGGCCATGCGGGACGCCGGCTTCATTTCCTGGGTCACCCTAAAAACTAGACAGGGTGGTGTGCACCTGTAGTCCCAGGGACGTGGGAGTCGGAGGCAGGAGGATCATGACAGCAAGACCTTGTCTAAGGGCCGGCAG